CTTTATGTACCTAGTTTAAAAATGAGAAGAGTAATAATGATAATACATATATTCTTTATTTTTACTGAGAAAGGAATTTTAAATTTTTGCTGGAAAGATTTTACCGGAAAGCTAAGTAGTTTAGTGTGTTCCAATAAATAAAACTATCATAATATTTTCAGAATACAAGTCTGACAGAAGAGAACCTAAATCTTCGTAGTGAAGGAAGTTCTCTAAAAGAAAACAATTACAGCCTTCATTCCAAAGTTTCATGTCTTGAACAGCAGGTTAGCTCATACAGTAAACAATATTCCAGTCTGCAGTCTAAACATGCACACTTAGAAGTGGAACATGCCCTTCTGGAGTCCCAGAAAGAAGCCTTGACCACACAGGTGACAAATCTGCAGGGTCAGCTTCATAAGCTTGAGGAGGAGAAAGATAAGGTATTACTTGAAGAGCTGTTTACTCTCTCTTCATGGGCATCTTTTTTTCTGTGTATGTCACAGATTTTAGTGAGTTACATTCAAAATTTAATTAAACTACTTTATTTTCTTGGTATACCAATAAATATAGCATAAATATATAAAGCTAATAATCCATATTTTAATAGTATTTAAGTTCTGAATTTTATAAGGCAATATAGAACAAAAATCCTGAATTTCCCATAGTGTGAGATTTGGAACATTTCCTCTTTAGACATCCCCTTTTATCTAATTTATTTACCACCCTTCCAAGAAGTTCAAAATTTAACGTAAATTACTCATTATAGTGCTGTCATTGCTCAGACAAAGCATAATTTTCATAGCATTCAATCTTACTTGGTTACAGAGCCATCAAATATAAAATCGGATCATTCTTACCATGACCACCTGTCACATCCTCTGTTTCAGAAGTTGCCAATAGTTATGTCTGACATTCATTACTATATTATTTATAACCAATAGAAAGCCAAGGTTTTACTCGATCAAATGACATCTTATATTACGTTGTTTTCTGTACAGAAAATTGTCAATTTCAATTTCAGTTCAAGTTTTATTCTCATGGGAAATGCATCAGTGAGGTTAGATTCTTTTTAAACAGCTCTTGTTGCATTGTTAGAAAGCCAGAAAAATTGTGATAGTTGTGGGTCATTGTCTGCTTTTTACATGTTATTATTGTGTATTCTTTGGTGCATTATGTAATTAGATAAAAAATTATTTAATGCAGTACTATCATTAGTATAAAAAAAAGTAGGGTTAAGTGTTATTGACAGTCAACAGCAAAAGAAAATGAAAATCCAGGTAAATACTTTATTTCTTGTTTTTCATGTGTAATCTTTATTTGTTATTATAAACATAGCTAAAATGTAAAAATACGAAACATTTTAGTTAAGGTCAATTTGAGTAAAATAAATAATAATATAATACTCTTTTAGGAGGTATGCTTGTGAGCAACTTGTGCGTAATGTAATTCCATAGTGTAACTTGAGCTGCACATCTGCCAAATGATTTACAACTTATAATGGCACGAATAGTAGTTAGATATAGTTCAAGGGGCAATAAAACAATAAAATTTAAGTATAAATAGATGTATACTGTTACAAGTTTAAAACTACATTTGGTGGAAAACAAAGTCTAATAATGAATAGTAGAGCCATGGCAACAATTGTAGACATCCTCAATGAATGTTTCGGAATTACACATTCTATCTTCAGCAAGTCTATGAAAATCACAAATTGAACAATCTTTAATATAATTACTAATATAAAAATATAATGAATAGTGTTAGGAAATTATAAACATTCAATTAAAAAAAAAGAGAGAGAGAGAAAGTTTGTTTATTTAATCACAAAACCTCAAGATGCTATCGGGTGTAAAACTCCATGGGTGTTTTCAGAAGGGAACACATCTTGGTACAATTTGCACTGGCCCCTCACCATTTCTGTGTGTGGAAGTGTATTATTGTCTCAGAAGTTAACATTTTCCTAATTTGAATATGTATTTCCAATAGATACTTGTCTCCTCACACATTCCCACCTATTCACCCTTTTTCTGGTGAAATTTTTTGTCTTGCCACATCAGCGATTGAAATGATCACAAGTGCAACTACATATTAGGAGTTACTGCGCATTGAGGTTGTGTCACCCTCCTATATATGGAGGTCTTTTATCTCATGATTATGTCATCATGCACCTGTGCAGTTCACATTAAAACATGAAATTAGGTGGAAGTTGCCTAAAGGCTAATGACATGCAAGTCTCATACATAGATGCATAAGGAAGATAGCTTTTCTCTGTGTGGAGGTGATTATCTATCAGAAATACAATTTCAGGAAATGTTAATTTTTAAGAGTTTGTCTTTAGTTGAACATGTTTCTTTAAGAGACCCTATAATTGATCGGGCAAATTATAAACTTTTAGTCATAGAGCAAAATCATATCCACAAGGGATTTTAAAAAAATGGCATATAGCAAATGTAGGTCTTACTCTTGTTAACAGAGGCACCTGTCAACAACCCCCATTGCTCAAATGTACAAACCTTTATTAACATTTAAGGTCAAGCCTTATAGGTGGTGCTTTTTAAATACAAATATCAATATAACTGCCACAATTTGTGTTGTGTGTCTGTGAATTTGTTTGCTTGACCATGAACCCTTCCCACAGTTCTGGAGCTAGCAGGAGTAAACTTGGTATAGTCCCACCCACCCACCCCTACAAAATGGGGGGCTAAAATGCACCCAAAAAGTCATCCAAGCATGGTAAGGATGTATTAGAAAGTTTTCAGGATCAGCAAATCCAAATATGACAATGAGCCAGTATATCCTAGTAGGGTTTGTTTTTGGGTACAGACCATCCTTGGAGTAACTATAATAGTAATTATGGATAATGGAGCTTCGTACACTGGAGCCTCTATGAATCATGAGGGAATCTATGCACCCACAGCAGAGCATGCATATTTTATGCTGGTTCTTAGTAAACATCTTTATAAGTTGTTAGGAGAGTTAATTATCTAGTAAAGGTGTTATTCTTTATCCAGTGAACACATTATTTCAATTGTATTTGAGTTTAAATGTTTTTTGTTTTAATTTTTTCACTTTTGTTTTACATTGCATCCAGTCTTTCTCAAACTCTGTTAAAGTTAACAAAAACTAAATTGATAAACAGAATTATTAGTAAATACCTCCACAAGAATTGTGAATAAAGCTTATAAGCTGGGCAGAGGAGTTTATGAAATAAAATGTGAGTGTGTTGGGTTGCTATTTTTCTTGCTGCATCATAAGTTGCTTCAAAGACTGTAATTAAAGGGATTAGATAATAATAGAATAATAATAATAATAATTAATTGATTATTGGCAACTGGTTAATTAGTAATTGGTCAATTTTCTTCTTGATACATCTCTGGTTTGTTCATTTATTCACTGTGTAAAAAAAAAGCTATCTCATTATGTAAAATAAATTAGAACTAAGTTGAAAACAAAATCTACACTAATATCTGTGTTTATTTATTAAGATTTTTGTTTTAATTTTCTGTATGTGGTTTCTAATAACAGCAGTTTAAGCTATTGGTTTTGCTTTACTTTTCTGACATAATGTGAAATATTTTATATTAGTCATGATAAACATGTATGATACATTAATTTGTCACAGATACCACAAGAGTTGCACTACTTTTTAGTTTAATGATGCCACATTTACATAAAGCACAGTGTTTAATTTTTTATTGGATTGTAAGTTGTAACTTAAAACTATTTATTTTTTACTAACAGTGTTTTTTATTCACACTGCTATCAGAAAGTGTGACAATTAATGATGAAAATAAATGCAGTCTTATATCCTTATTTTAAAACTTAAGTAGTCAATAAAATTGTTTTAATGAATTAATATTGATTGTATTCTTAAACTGGTACCCAAAATGAACACTTTTTATTGTAAATATTATTCCATGTAGCTATTACTAGATACGAAAGAACTGCAATCAGTCCATGAGACCGTGTGTTCTAACAACGAAACTTTACAGAAACTTCATGACCAGCTCACTGCAGAATATGAAAAACTCTCCAACAATCACAGTATTCTCAAGGCTAGTCACAAAAGTCTTAAGTCTGAATACATTGCTCTTAAAGTAATATATTATTTATTATATTAATTTTTTTCCTATAATCTAGTACATAATATAGATAATGCAGTACTGGGAAAACAATTGCTTAGTTTTGTTGACAATCATGTGTAGAATGAATTATCAAAACATGCTTTTTTAACATATAATTTAGGTGCAAATATTTAAAAGATGGAGTTCTTTAACAAAAAATTATGTTTTGAATGTTGTTTTAGAATTTCTTTTCAGTATAATGAGGTGATTTTTATTTAATTTGTTACAAAATGTGTAATAGCAATGTGTTTTCCTTTTTTCAATCCATTTGAAAATGAATCAAAATTTTGTATTTATTTCTGAAGGTTTTATTAAATCTGTTTTTCAGTTGATTTGTTAATTTTTGAATTTTGCAGTATGCTCAGTTATAAATTATAAAATAATTCGTTATTATCAGTTATTATTGACCCATGTGGTTTTTATAATTACAATTGCAACAATAGAACTATCTTAAATAATATAGAAACTTTATTTTTTTTCATATTTGTGTATTTTTAAGGGTAAGTTGCAAGAAGAATCCTTCTCTCAAGAAATGTTGAAATTGAGAGAAATGCTGGAAGGGGAGAAAGATGAGGCTAGTGGTAGAAGTTTCACAAACTTACAGTCTCGGTATTCAGAACTAAAGGTAGTTTGAGTAAATATATTTTGATATGTTAAACAAAAGAGAAAAGACTGTTTTAATTATTTCCTGGTTATATTCTGTAAATTGAAAGGGACATTTCATTTTTTTGGTTGATAATAATGTTGTTGCTTACTTTTGAAATGCAAGACACAAATTTAATGAAGCAGTTTATATGACTTGTATTTCAGCTTAAATTTTAGAGAGCACAAGAAAAAGAATTAACAAATGGGAATCCTCAATACCCACAGCACTTGAAATGCTTTTAGGCAGGATTAGAGTAAATTAATCTATGAGAATTTTTTCCCCTTTTTATTAGCTATACCAAACGAAGCATGAGGCATGCATATACCTGATTCAAATTTTTACTTGTCAAGATCTCTACCAGCCTTCCCTCAAATTGTACTTTTTTCAGGCAGGATTAGAGTAAATTAGTTTGTGAGACCTTGGGCATGGGCAAATACTCCAATTGAAAGGGTTTGACCTCCTGAGTCAAAAAATATAATTAATCTCAAATTGGTCAAGAGATGATGGATCTATTGTACATGAAAAAAAACTCGGAGCCATTCTTTGAGCTACTATGCCATGACTAAAAAGTGTGAGAACAATTGGAAAGTGTTATGAAGTAATGCCCAATATATTAGAGAAATGGTAAGCATATATGAACATTAAAGAAAGCAGCTAACTTCTGTGTTGTGGTTCTGTTTTCTTATATTTGAGATTAGTGAGGATATCAAAAAAAGGGCAATAACTTTTCCAGATTGGGTGAGGGTGTGTGCATTTCATATCCCTTGATTTTTTTACTTCTAACTGTGGAAATACTTAACCAAATAGCATGAAATCTTGTAAAATGTTAATAAATAGTATGTATTTTTGGCTTTAAAAACATCAAGTAATCTAATATACTTTTTCTTCCATTTTTTTGTTGTGAGTTACTCTTTTTGAAAATTTTTTATAATAATGCCTTTCATCTTTGCATTTCAGTTTTTTTTATTTTGGTAAGAAAGTTCCATTTAATATATCCAATTACTTTTAACTTAATTGATATTCATAAGCATATATTTACTTTGATACTTTATTTTCTTAGTTTCCTATTATAAATCATAAAAACTGGCAAATGGTTTACATATGACCTAACACGTTACAGTTTAGTTAAGAATATTTTCACCAACAATATGCTTGGTCAAGAATAATTTGTTTCTAGAAAATATAGTTTCTTTTCAAGAAATAATAAGTTATTTTATTCTTGGATATGATAAACTTAACAATAATATTCAGTAAATAGTTTCTTTTCAAGAAATAATAAGTTATTTTATTCTTGGATATGATAAACTTAACAATAATATTCAGTAAATAGTTTCTTTTCAAGAAATAATAAGTTATTTTATTCTTGGATATGATATTCAGTAAATAAGGAATTGAGCCATCAGAATATCTTGCCATTGCCTACTGTACTCTCTGTTAAAACCTAACTAGGCTTACACGATGTCTTCTCATGCGAGAAAATTTCCAAACCTTTATCTCTCTCCACATGGGCTCATTTGAATTGACCAACCATGTGTCCACTTTGTACTCTTTACAGTTTTGATACTACTAACTTTTAATATAGTATGTGTATCTTCACAACAAACTTTGGTTGATTTTCAGTAAACATTACAAGTATTTTTATATAGAAAAATATGATTTTGTTAGTGAAGTATTTTTAATAAACTAAAAAAGATTTGTCCATGGACATATCGAGTTCTTTTTTTTTTTTTACTAGTCTGGGTGGCTATGTCATTTCATTTGTTGAGTCTCATTCAAAATTTTAATGAAGTACTATTTCATCAATTTATATCACTAAGTTTGGTATCAAACTGTATATTATAATTCAAATTTTAGTACTATACATCACTCAATTTCTCAATTTAAAAGTAAATATTACAAAATACAGATAAACATCGATTTTTGTGTGTCACATGATATGTTGAATGCAGCAGTGGTTCAGATTAGATGTTTGTGAAGTCAAAATACTAAGTCTATAGTTTTGATTAAATTAGAAACTCAAATTACCAATATTGACAAGCTAGAATATAAAATAAGATATTATCTTTTCCATTTGCTCATGTGGCACCCCACCCATATCTTTCCATTTTTGGAAATACTTCTGCATATGACATGAATAACCAATTGGAAGCTCAGAATGTCCCCCTAGTGGCTTTTTCATCTATGTTAACAGGCTTGGACACCATTTATTTCTTTTGAACTAATATTTCAATGGGGTAGATTGTGTCTTTAGTTTCTTTTTTTTTTTTTCTACTAAAATACATCTTAGTTACTAAGCTTGATAAATTATAGTGGAATTCTATGGTACTGATGTAGTAATTTATAATTTTTTAGTTAGTCAAATATATGTATACAATTTAAAAGAAAATTATTTTGTTTCATATCCTCCATGTGCAAAATTTTTTAAAACTTAGCAACCTACGTTAAGCAGCAACCAAGTACAGAGGTCATAACTAGAAGAGATAATTGTTTGCTTTACTTCTTTATTTACTGTTTTATGTTTTAAGAAAAATAAGTTTAAGAATTTATTTCAAAATAGCAATAATCTGTATACATATATAATGTATAATAATTGAAATGTGACTGTATTTTACAAAATACTGGTCTACTAAAACACAGCCAAGACAAGTTACTTTGTACAAACCATGTCATTTGTTATGGTAACATGAGTGCACGTGTGCCAGGCACAGCTGAAAGGTCAATATGATAAATATATATAAATTTATAATGCTATAAGATTTAAACTATTTAGTCTAAACATTTATGTTTTTGTGTAATAATTTGTGTTTAATCTAGAATGAAAGAGGCATAATTTATATTTATTTCCTAATTTTTTATGGTTGTGAGATTGGTCAAATCTACCGAACTGGTACAGAGATTAATTACTGAAAATAACAGATAAAATATAAACTTTTTTCTTAAGAAACATTTGATAAATATCTGAGCATCATAAAGATTTTACATGTGAAATTTGAAAATTTTCTGAAGCATAAAAGTATTTTTAATTTTAAAATTAGAATTACTTTGCATGATACACAGGTAACATGCGAAAAGAAAAAAAAAGGCGTGAGAAAAACATTGCTTTACAAACCTTAAGACTTAATAAAAAAATTTGATATTTTGCATATTAAAGCATTGTAATGGTAATTGATAATCTTCCAAATTTCATTAACATTTGCTTACTAATTTAAAAGTTACAACATGAAAACTATAATAAGCACAAAATGGTTACAAAGTCGGTCCCAGGAACCGAGCTTGTGCTGAAAGAGTAAAAATTAAAAATACTTTTCTTCATGTCAAAAATCTCAAATTTCGTTTGTGTAATCTCTAAAGCATCCTAACTAAATTTCAAACGTTTTTTAAGTCAAACTTTATGTTTTATCTGGTGTTTTCTCTGTACAAGGTTGGTCAATTTTACCTAATCTAACCTTAACTAACCTAAAAAGATCTCTATTAAAGAATAGATATGAAAAACAAGAAATAAAGTACTTACCCGAGTATTCTTTTGTTTTTGCTGTTAACTATCGATGACACTTAACCCAACTTTTTAATACTAATGGTCTTAGTTCATTGAATAATTTTTGTTTAATTAAATAATGCACCAAAGAACATAGACTAACAACATGCAAAAAGCAGACAGTTTCCTCTAACAATCAAAATTTTTCTGGCTTTCTAACTATGCAACAAGAGCTGTTACAAATTCATCCAAGCTAGCTGTTGTGATTCCTGTGGGAACGAAAGTTGTATTACAAGTGAAATTGACACTTTATGTTCAGAACACAATGTAACCGAATATGTCATTTGAGAGATGAAAACCTTGACTTTATATTGGTTACAGTTAATATATAATATAATATAATAATATAAAGAGAACTATTAACAAATCCTGAAAGGGTGTGGCAGGAGGGGTCTGATTTTCTGCATGATATCTCTGTAACCAAACAGAATTGAAGGCTATAAAAATTATGTTTTTTCTGAGCAATGACAATTTTATAGTGAGTAATTACATTGAATTTTCTACCTTTTCGAGGAGTGATGGATAAAATACAGAAGATGGGATGTCTACAGAAAATGTCACGTGTGTCACCCTAGGGGAAATTCAGCATTTTTTTAAATATTGCCTTGTAGAATTAAGAACTTAAAACTTATATACTATTAAAATGTGGATTATTAGCTATGATTTCATGCTATATTAATTGGTATAACAAACAAAAAGTAGTTTAATTAATTTGGAATGTAACTCACTAAAAACCTCATAACTTGCGTAGTAAAGGATAACCATGGCGAGAGTGTTTAAGCAAATATAATTTAGCACAAAGAATGTCTAAAGAAATTTTAAAAGATTTCTCAGATCTTTAGTTTATTCCTAAGTCTTAATAACTTTCCACTAAATTCTGTTTTTAATATCTGCAGGAGCTAGGTTTTTCATTTTCTCATAAAACCATAAATTACATCTTTCACCATTTAATTTACTATACAATTATGAAAGTAGTTTATAATATACTCTGTCCAATGCAGGTGTACACTCAATGCCTGAAAGGTGCTCACCTGTCTGGGTTAATAGGACAAATATGTAACATAAACAATAAACATATTAATATAAAAAAGTATGTCTAGTAATAAAATGACTATCTGCATATATATGGATTATGGTAATATGATTACTTATATGATTACAATAACAATCTTGTGACTTGCTGGTTATATTATCATACACTAATATATATTATTATTCGTAAGCCTAAATATTGGATATATTCCACAACCTGGTCATGTAGACCAGTGTTTTTCAACCCATGGGTCATAAACATACTTTGCAAATAAATAATAGTAAGCCAGATGGGTTTTGCACTGAAGTTATTTATTTGGTCGTGACTGGCCATCAATATTTACAGATGAGTCCTGAGCCAAAAAGGTTTAGAACTGTTGATCTAGACAGCAAGCTAAATCAACATGCTACATTGGTTATTTTTTGTAAAAGTAAAGGAAATTCATAGATCACATTGTAATATATTAGAGCAATATTAGCCTGACAATCAAATTAAGTTATGGATATTTTAAATAATTTCCAAAAAGTCATACCTATGTAATGACATGTTTTAAAATTCATTTCATGTTCATCAACAGGAGCAGTTTCGAACCCTGAAAGAGAATAATGATCAGCTTTTGGTTAATCATGCCTACTTGGAAACTAAGCACAAAGCAATAAAAACTGAAAACAATGAACTAAAATTGAAGAACACAGCTTTAAAAGGAGAGGTGGGGGAGTGTCGAGATGAAATTGCAACATTAGACGTGCAGGTGGCAAAACTTGTTAGTTATTGTGAGGTATGTTTGACCCTTAATGTAAAAAACTGTCTGAATTCTTCCTTTTTCCATCTTTTATTTTTTTATAAAGTCATTATTTATTAAATGTTATCATCTTTTTGCCAATTTAGCTATATTAACTAATTTGGTAGATGATAACGTTAAGTAAACATAGTTTTGATGGGAAATTAATAAGACAGTAGTTACAGGTTAGGTTGTTGGAATATGCTTGAGTGACTAAGTAAATGAAAAAAAAAAAAAGATACTATAAATAATTGAGTATGACTTACTAGTGATAAAGATAAAATGACCAGAGTTTCGTAAAAATGATATTGATGAATTATAATTAAAAATGTTTGTCTACTAGTGATGTATAAAATTAATGGTTCAAACTTTTTCAGATGCTGTCACATGTTAACAATACAATTGAAAATGATCGGCAGTCCGTGATGACCAGTGCATCTGTTCTTCTGTCTGATTATCATAATTACCTGTCTTCATTGGCCTATGATGATATTAGATCATTGTCAACTGATACTAACATGTACGTTTTTCACTCATTTAACAACACTTTCCTCCCTTTTTTTCTTGCTAGTTCAGCTGTTATATACATATATTGTAATGCATTTATAATGTGTTGTTGTAATAGGAGTATCACCATTGCTCTACTGGATAACTGACTTTCATTTTAAGTATTCTGACATTGGAAAATAAATGTATGTAGTTATAATAATGTAAATGTAACATTTTTGTTTTTTATCTGCTTTAAGTTGTAATTCATTTATAAAGCTGATTTTCTGTTTTACTTATATCAAGGGTAAAAGAAAAGTTTGTATGTTACAACTGAAATATAGACAAAGCTGTACCTAGTAATTATAACAAAATTTCTAAAAGTCATTATTTTTTTAATTTCATCACCTTTTTTGCCAATTTAGTTAGATTTACTAATTTGGTAAACACAACATTAAATAGACATAGCTTGGATGGAAAATTAATAAGACAGTAGTTACAGGTTATTGGATTATGCTTGAATGAATGGGTAGATGAAAAAAAAATGTAGGTCTATAAATTGTGTATAATTGTCTATAATTGAGTATGATTTAGTAATGGTAAAAATAAAATGACCAGAGTTTCGTAAAATGATATTCATGAAATTTCTAGTAATATTAATAAAAAAAAAACAACTCAAATTTCATATACATGCAAAAACTTTGCTACTTGAAATATGAATAGTATTATTCGCAAAATAACTTTTAAGGTGCAACCTTTATCAATCATTTCATTTGAAAAGAAAACCAAAAACTTGTTGTAGGAAAGAAATCCTAAATATTTAGGAAATTTAGGATATTTAGCAGTTGGAAAACATTTGTGGTTTTTATACATTTTAAGAAAAAAAGTTTATCATTGTATTGCGCATGAAGAACATTTCTGTTTGAAGTGAACTTGAATTATAAATTTTCAGTTATTAAATATCTGTGAATATAAAAGTACACAATTATAGAGAATTTGAATTAAAGTAACTATTCAAAATTTATTCATAGATTTGAATTCCTTTGTACTATCTGACTGTTTATCTCATGTAATCAACACCTTAAGTACACTAATTATCTTGTCTACTTAAAATTATTCAAATTTCAAGAAAAGAGCCCACCTGGTGATACAGCAGTAAGACTGAGAGCTTGTAACCGTTAAATTCAGGTTTCTATTTCTGTGATGGTCTCAGCACAAATAGCCTATTTGTGTAGCTTTGTGCTTAAAAACAAACAAAAATAAAAAAAGATGATAATTTATTTTTTATGTTTTTTTTTGTGGGTACTTGGGTCTTTCTGCTGCTTTTTCCTTTTTTTTTAATGGTTATGTTTCTAGGTAAGATTTTTTATGCTTAGAAACAGAATAAACTTCATTTGAGCATGTTATTAACATAATTAGTGAGGGTATGTCTTAAGAGCTGATGAACAAACAAGGCAAACTTGAGAAAATATTCCTTAAAAGAAACACTTTCTTGGAAAAGTTTTAAGTAAAATATGATTATCATGCCCACCTGAAAATTAAAAATGAGGACCAGTGTTAACGTGGTTTTTGCGATACATTTAAATGTAATAGTACTGTATTAAAGAAGAAACTGAGTATTGAAATACCACTCAACATCCATTTGCTGCATATAATTTGAAATGAAATGACGTCAGCTTGATCTCTACTACAAATCATTTCCTTGTTTCAACTAATAGAACTTGAATGTCATTTTATAACACTGTTTGAAAGCCATCCTAGACATGATAACAACAACTGATTTTTCAAACTTTGCAGGTCTTATCTCAGAACAGTGTTCAATCATTCTTATTTTCACCATGTGTCCTGTTTTCCTTATGGTTTTATCAAATTTACATCTTGAACAGTACTTGTCTGTATTTTTTTTTTTCATATTGTAAATTTTGATATAGCATTGGTTTTGACTTTAATCATACCTTGTAGCCTTGTTGTGGCTTTTTAAAAATCTTTTAAATTTACAGATTTTCCATAAATATGTAGTAGTGACTTAGGTTAGTCATTGTGTTTACTTGTGAAATATCCTGTTCACTTAATAAAGGCCTCAGGATAATGCTTGACTTTGGTCTTCTGATGATAAAGCTTTTTATTCAAAGAATATGACATTTTTTTCTCTAGAACTGGTTAGCCACTTCAAAATGTCTGTAAGAATACGTATGTCAAAAAATGAATAAGGGTTAGTGTACGTCCATTATATTAGAATCATACATTTTATAGATGTTGATCTTAGATACATCACTAAGCAATATTTTATTTATTAACTTTGGTTATTTCAACGTCTTTTAATTCTGTTGCCCTTCGACGTGGATTCCTGTACTTGGTGAGGGAACCTCCCAGGGAAGGTTCTGTATTTTCAGTTACTGAACATCCACCCACGTGTTTGCCGTACGTGGCGACCCGTGAAGGGGAGGAGATGATCCTGGTGGTTGAGTGGTGTCTGGGGCACTGCAACACACCACTTTGGCCTTGAATTCCTGTAGATGAGTGGCCTTGGGGTGGCCACCCCAGGGTCCAAATGGGCTAGGGTCATCCGAGTACCAGTGTTGGGCGTTCTCAACGGGTGTTGTGGACATTGTGTCTGATGTTGGTGTTTCGCTATAGTGCTCACAAAACACTGGCATTGCTGCAGTTTGACATTGTAGTGCATCCCCTTGCAGGACTCCATGGCGGGTGGGGTCAGTGGACACTTAAACTTTTTTCTTAATTATGGATCCCCCCAATCCAAATGAAAAAAAATAGTAAAAACTCCACTTATTGGTAAACGACCACGGCTAGAAGACTCAGCACAGCCATCTCCACCACAAGGTGGCCCTGTACCTCGCTTTATGATCTTACATTCACTATCTGATAAATCTTTTGGGCAAATATCCCCTTTTTTATTCAGAATGGCTTAGAGGGGCTTGCTGGCTCTCCAAAGTCAGTTAAGAAACTCCGTTCTGGAAACATCTTGGTCGAAACATCCACAGCTAAGCCCAGTGAACTCCTCTTGAATTCAAGGGCCATTGGAGATATACCTATTGAGGTTACTCCCCATGCTTCCTTGAATTCATCACAAGGAGTTATTGTTGAGAGGGACTTGAAGTCTATCCCCAAGTCAGAGATACTTGCTCATCTCTCCAGCCAAGGAGTTTCAGCTGTTTGACGGATCTCCACTCGTAAGGATGGTATTATGGTGCCGACCTCAGTTCTTATTTTGACATTTTCATTACCATGTCCACCGGCCGCTGTTAAGGCAGGTTATTTGAACTGTAAGGTACGGCCCTATATTCCCAACCCTCTCCGATGTTTTCAGTGCCAGCGGTTCAGTCATTCAATGACATCTTGTTGTGGTGGCAAGGGCCACGACGCCTGTGAATGTAAACTGGACCCGCACTGTGTTAATTGTAGTGGTTCCCACCCCTCTTACTTTAGATCTTGCCCTAAGTGGGTGGAGGAGAAAGAGGTACAGCGTTTAAAGACCGTTCACAACATTTCCTATCCAGAGGCTCGGAAGCTATTGTTCCCTACTCCATCTCAGACATATGCCACTGTACTACGCTCCACTGCTACAGTGAGAGTGCAGACATACCTTTCTGTGCCTCCATCTGAGTCGTTTTCACACCATGTGAGAGATCTTCAGCCCTCCATGGTTAATAGAGTTGATAGGTCTACATCGACTCCAATATCTATCGTTGGATTCTCATACTGTGCCCTCCTTATCTGTGTCCCTTGATACACCCTTGGAGGCCATAGCCATCAGTCTTTTACTGCCATTGATCTCTTGATTTGCTCCCCTTCACTTTTCACTCGCTTTTCTTGGATGGTCGACTGTGAGCCACGGGGCAGTGATCATTTTCCTATCATTATGAGGGAGGTTGGCCATGGTCGATGCCACCCAACCCGAGTGCCACGGTGGAAGCTGGACCAGGCTAACTGGCCATCTTTCACCTCTTTCTCTGAACTTGATCCTGCCTTCGTCTGTCTACCATCAATAGACGACTGTGTGGTTGCAGTAACTGACTGTATTGTACAGGCAGCAGCTCGTTTTATTCCTAAAACCTCAACACGTTTTCCATGGTATTCTTGTCCATAATGGAGTCCTGCCTGCCAGGGGGCACGGCAGGCTCAAAAACGGGCCTGGGATACCTTTCGACGATATCCCTCTCTTTCTAACTGCATTGTTTATCAGCGGGCCCGTGCCCATGCTCAGGAGGTTCGACGTCAGTGCCAAAAGGAATCTTGGATTAAATTCAGTACTAGCATCTCTTCTACCACCAGTTCCAAAACTGTATGGGACAAGATTCGGAAAGTTTCTGGGAGGTATGCTTCCCATCCCCTTTCCATCTTGCTCTCCAATGGCCTGGAAGTTGCTGATGTCCAGAGCATTGTTGACGCTCTCGGCCACAGCTTTTCTCGTGCTTCTAGCACTTCTGTTTCTTCCCCTGCCTTCTTAGCCATCAAGTCTCGGGCAGAGCGATTGCCTCTTTCCTTTCAGGCTGATCGTCTCTATGTTT